TGAAAGAAAGAGCGAAAGGCTAAAAAGAATAAGTGAGTTTCATTCAAGTTATCTGGTATATCAATATCCACTTTTGTTTCCTTGTGGGGAAGATGGTTTTAGACTTGGAGTTCTTCTTAGAGAAACTAATACCAAAAAAAAATGAAGAGGAATAAGCTTACCATTAGATAATGGCTTGCTTTTAGGATTCAATGCAGACATAACAAGGCATAAACTATATTGCGGTCAAGAAGGTTGTTTCAACAATTTTTGGTTGATGGATTTACTATGATGGAGTCACAAAGATTGAATTATATTCGAAAACATCAGAAAAAGCTGCGTGTTTCTAAATATTGCAATTTGAGCTCATTTGAACAGAATGCAAACACTCAAGGATCAAACAAAGGTAAAAGAGTGGTTTTACCTTCAACTTATGTTGGAAGTTGGAGGTTTATGGAACAACTCTATTTTGATGGAATGGCAATTTGTAGCCAAGTTGGATTTCCAGATCTTTTTATCACATTTACTTGCAATCCCAACTGGCCTGAAATCCAAAGGTTGCTTAGCAAAATTAACTTGAATTCTCAAGACCGTCCAGATATCATCTCAAGAGTCTTCAAAATTAAGTTCGATGAGTTGTTGTGTGATCTAACAAAAAAGCACGTGTTAGGGAGAGTGATTGCATGTAAGTCAATTTAATACCCTTTCAGTCGAGTTATATTTTTTGACATTAATCTTATTAAATATGTAATATGCATCGTTTTACTAAGTTTAAACTTACTTAATTTCAGATATATACACCATTGAATTCTAAAAGCGGGGTTTACCACACGCCCATATACTATTATTCTTGCATCCTTCAAGCAAGTATCCGACTCCAGATGATATAAACAAGATCATTTCAGCAGAGATACCAACGAAAGAAGATGATAGGCAACTCTACCATTTGGTCAAGACACATATGATTCATGGCCCATGTGGTTTAGCAAATGCGAATTCAACTTGCATGAAAAATGGAAAGTGCTCAAAATACTTTCCAAAGAAATATCAAACTGAAACCATTGTTGATCAGGATGGATATCCCGTGTACCGAAGAAGAGAAACAGGTAATACAGTGCTGAAAAAACACGTTCAACTTGATAACAGATATGTAGTTCCTTACAATCCATATTTGTTGAAGAAATTCCAAGCACACATCAATATGGAGTGGTGTAATCAAAGTACTTCAGTTAAATACTTATTTAAGTATATTAACAAGGGGTATGATAGAATTACTGCTGCTGTTGTCCAAACTGACGGTGATGGATCTCCCTCAGTCAGAATGGTTGACGAAATCAAGAAATATCTTGATTGCAGATATATCTCACCAAGTGAGGCATGTTGGAGACTTTTTTCATTTCCTATTCATGGTAGATCACCCGCAGTTGAAAGGTTGTTCTTTCATCTTGAAGGAGACAACTCTATTTATTATACCGATTATGAATTGATAGATGAGGTGCTTGACAAACCAATTGTGAAAGAATCTATGTTTACGACATGGATGGAAGCAAACAAAGCATACCCAGAGGCAAAGAATTTGACGTACTCACAATTTCTTTCCAAATTTGTTTATGATAAAAGATACCATCGATGGAGACCGCGTAAAAGAGGAAATACAATTGGCAAACTTATTTGGGTCCCTCCAAGTACGGGTGAGTTATATTTCTTGAGAATGATGCTAACAGTCGTCAAAGGTCCAACTTGCTATGAGGATATAAAATTTGTGGGTGGAAAAGTTCAGGATTCTTTTAGGGATGCATGCTTCGAAATGGGCTTTCTTAACGATGACAAGGAATATGTTGCAGCCATCGACGAAGCAAAGAATTGGGGTTCCGGGCATTTTTTACGAAAGTTATTTGTCACTATGTTACTATCCGGTATTGTCAATAGACCGCGACATGTTTGGGAAAAAACTTGGAGGACGTTATCTGATGGTATCCTCTACCAACAAAGGCAAAAAACAAATAGAAGAGGTATGAACACTTTATTAAACTTTTTTAAGTCAACAAATATTATTTTCCGAATGCAAGCTGTATCTTTTTTTATTACAAAATATAATGATACGAACTTACTTTAAAATATAATTATTCTTCATTCATATGTCCCTTATTTAATATGTTTCATAAGGTATGTCCATTTACGTAAGAAACATTTTCATATTTGTCATTTGTCATGTATGTAAGTTATTTTCTTAACTTGCAACTGCAACAGTGTCTTTGGTTCCATTTAATTTCACGCAGCCGCAACATCAACTGTTTGATTTATGTTCAATGTATTTCAACATCACGACAGCAGTTGCATCATACATATGTAATTATATAGAAAACTAATGAAATTTTTTTAACAGAATTGCAGCTATCGGACAATGAGTTAAAGAATCTCACACTAATTGAGATTGAGAACATGATGCAATCGAATCGAAGAAGTTTGCATGAATTTAAATGTATGCCGTATCCAAATTCATACATCACAAAACATGTTGGCAATATGCTTATTTATGACGAACTTAATTACGATGCCGATACCGAGAAACAGAAATTCCAAGAACTTTTTCATGCCCTTACAGGTGATTTATTTTCTTTATACTATGAATTACAAAAATGATTTTTATTGTCCTTGCACTTATAATTCTTGGTTTGTATTTTATAGATGAACAACGTTTGATATTTGAGAAAATCATGGATGTTGTTAACAAACAGAGTGGAGGGGTATTTTTCTTGCATGGTTACGGAGGGACTGGTAAAACTTTCATGTGGAGAACACTATCAAGTGCACTTCGTTCTCAAAAAAAATTGTTCTTACTGTTGCTTCAAGTGGGATAGCTTCGTTATTATTGCCGGGTGGAAGAACAACACACTCAAAGTTCAAAATACTTGTGCCAACGCTTGACAACTCAACTTGCAACATCGATAAAGACACCGAACATTCTCAGTTATTTGAAGCAACGGATGTGATAATATGGGATGAGGCACCTATGTCTCACAAGAACTGCTTCGAAGCATTGGATAAAACCCTTAAAGATGTAATGAGCAAAAAAGGTGTTGAGAATACTATTTTCGGTGGAAAAGTTGTTGTATTTGGAGGAGATTTTAGACAGATTCTTCCTGTTGTTCAAAGAGCTGGGCGTTCTGATATTGTTCATGCATCAATTAGTTCATCTTATGTATGAGATTATTGCCAGGTTTTAACACTATCAAAAAATATGAGGGTGATGGTAAGATTTGTGAACCCAATGATGGTTTGGTTGATATTGAAATTCCTCAAGAGCTATTAATATCAAATTTTGATGATCCTATAAGAGCAATTGTTGAAAACACATATCCCAATTTGTTGGAAAAATATCAAGATGTTGAATTCTTACAAGGAAAGGCTATTCTTGCTTCAACCATTGAAGTTGTGGACAAAATCAATCATTATGTATTAGACTTGATACCAGATACATGTGTTTTATATTTACTGTATTATTACATTCATAATATATATATATATATATATATATATATATATATATATATATATATATATATATATATATATATATATATATATATATATATATATATATATATATATATATATATATATATATATATATATATATATATATATATATATATATATATATATATATATATATATATATATATATATATATATATATATATATATATAAGAACATAGTTTTACCAATTTATTTATGTTTTGCTTTTAAACTTTTTTTTAGGAGAAGAGAAAGAGTATTTGAGTTTTGATTCCATTGATAGAACGGATTCAAGTTATACTGAAGCATATGAAATTCTAACTCCTGAATTTCTCAGTAAATTAAGAACGTCAGAGCTTCCCAATCATAAGATCAAATTGAAGGTTGGTACACCTATTATGCTAATGAGAAATTTGGACCAAGCCGATGGGTTGTGCAACAGAACAAGATTAATTGTTACAAGATTTGCAAATCATGTCATTGAGGCAAAAATCATGTCTGGAAAGAACATAGGTAACATTTTTTACATTCCACGAATGTCTATGTCACCTTCTGATTCACCTTGGCCATTCAAGTTGATTAGGAGACAATTTCCGATTATTGTCTCCTATGCAATGACAATTAATAAGTCACAAGGTCAATCTCTTGATAGTGTTGGATTGTATTTGCCTACTCCTGTGTTTAGTCATGGTCAATTATATGTTGCAATTTCAAGAGTTAAGAGCAAAAGTGGGCTAAAAATCTTAATTCATGACAAGGAGAATGTACCGTGTTCTACTACTACTAATGTTGTGTACAAGGAAGTCTTTCAAGCACTTTGATAGTTGGTAAACTTTATATCTTATACTTTACGATTCAAATTAAAAATCTATTTTGAATTAAAATATATAGTATGTACATTTTCCATGTATTTCAAGAAGTATATAATTTTTCCTCTTTGTTCATGCAGACGTGATTTGTTGATAGGACCGACGCTTGCTACAAATATGGAGTTAAATGCCAACATGGTTTACATGAGACATATACTCAACTGAAAACATGGTAACATACTTAATAATTTAATAATCTATAAATATAATGTGAATCCAGACGAGACCGTGCGATAACACGGGTTTGTTAATAATACTCTTTAAAAGGATTACAAAATTTAAAATTTCAATTTATTAAATATACAAATTTTCATAAAAGTGTAGTACATTTTTATTTAAATGTGTGCTATATTAACCAAAAACGCCACCTACAAATGGATAATTTGTCAACATGATCCACGAAAACACGCATACTTGAAAAAAATTTGCTTCGCTCACTTGTGCAATACAACACTGCTAACCGTGTCATCAAATTTAACCAGCACGAGTGAAATCGCAACACTCTCTCTCCCCTACCTCCCGCCAATTCATTTTCCACTTCCCTCCCCCTTTTCAATTCCCAAACCCTAACCCCTTTTCTCCCCAAAATCAATCAACCTAGGGTTTCACTTCCACCACCACAGCCACCAAACATGCCGTCGCTACTCTCTCCCGGTAAAATCCACATACTAGAGATCGATAATTTCAAATCCTACAAGGGCTTACAAAGAATCGGTCCCTTCTCTGACTTCACCGCAATTATTGGTCCCAACGGCGCCGGAAAATCTAACCTAATGGACGCAATCAGTTTCGTTCTTGGTGTTAGAACCGGCCAACTCCGTGGTGCTCAATTGAAGGATCTCATATACGCCTTCGATGATAGAGATAAAGAACAGAAAGGAAGACGAGCCTTCGTTCGCATGGTTTATCAACTCGCTAACGAATCTGAAATCAGGTTCACCAGAACTATCACATCAGCAGGAGGAAGCGAGTACCGTATCGATGACAGCGTCGTTACTTGGGATGTCTACAATGCTAGACTCAAATCGCTAGGCATTCTTGTTAAGGCTCGCAACTTTTTGGTCTTTCAGGTTCGTTTCTTTCTCTCTTTCTCAATTTCCTCTTGATGATTTTTTTTACAATTGCTTGCTTGTTGCATCTTGAATCTTGAATCTGCTGAAATTGTAACTGTAGGGTGATGTGGAATCCATTGCGTCGAAGAATCCTAAGGAGCTTACTGGCCTTATTGAGCAGATATCGGGATCTGATGAGCTCAAGAGAGACTATGAGGAGTTTGAAGAAGAGAAAGCTATTGCTGAGGAGAAATCAGCACTTGTTTATCAGAAGAAAAAGACAATGGTTATGGAGAGGAAGCAGAAGAAAGAACAAAAGGAAGAGGCGGAGAAACATATACGACTCCAAGATGAATTGGTAATTGTATCTACTCTTGATTTATGTTTATTTGTATGTATTCATGCTTCTCTTTGGTACTAGGTTAATCTGTGGCTGTATGTGCTGTTATGTGTTGTTGGATTGGCCTTTGTATAAATTTGATTGAGTTCCTTCCATCTGCTCTGTCCATGCATTGAGTTTTTGTTTAATTTTTCTCTCCTTTACCATATGTTTGACAGGTCTATATTATGTTTAGATAAATAATCACAATTTTTTGTATTAAGAAAATTTATGTATATTTAATCTAGTACAATAGCAATATTTTAATTTAATAATAAACAAAATATTTAAAAAATTATAAATTTGTATAAAGAAGCTTTAAATTATATTTAATAATACAAAAATAGATAAGAGAATAAGGGAAGTAATTCGTAAGGCTATATAGTATATAAACATCACTGCCCAGTGTATGCTGTAAATCTTAAACCACAAACTGAAGAGCACATTTTTCACGGTGAAGAGGCGTGGGTTCAATTCCTATATTGAATTTTTCTATTTGAAAAAAAAGACGTCATATCAGTGTATTGTGTCCATCAAACTGGACAGTACTGCGTCACCAATTTTATCTGATTAAACTTAAAAGTAACTGGTTCTCTTGCACAACCAATCCATTAAAGTAAGCAGACTAGCCAAAGGCCCGATTTCTGGTTGAGCTGGGCTGACTGGCCGAGCCGGTCTGATTTTAAAAACACCCTTCTAAATTAAGGGTCTGTCTGTCACTGATGCACACGACATTCCCTCATACTTGTTACATCTAAATTGTTCCTTCCTGCTCTTTTTTCACTTTAATATTATAACTTGCATTTTTATGGGCAATGACCACCATTTTATAAATACACATTGATGCTGCTGATGCTGACGACGTTAATGATGGTGCTGGTAATAATAAAAGCCATCATCATAATAGTCTTCATACAATACAACACGTGGAGTTTGTACATTACTCACGCCACATGTTGGCACAATCCTTCCTGGTAGAAGGTTTCATAAAGGAGATCCTTATTTACTTTATCTTTGATTTCTTTGCTCGGAAGGATTAAACTTCCTTCATCAATCTGGCTGAGCGGCAGAGGGGTCTCTCATGGAGTCAAGATTTGTAGACTTGCATTCATTATTACTCGCTTGTTATTTGAAGATGCATGGTTTCTTCCTTGTGTAATTTCTCTGTATGTGCTAACACAACAGTCTCAAACCTGCAATTGATCAAAGAGATAATAGATCCGTACTCCTCAAGTGGTCCATCAAGAATAACATCTAAATGTTCTTGCAGAAAAATAACTTCACTTACTCATTAAGAGCATCAATTTGACCTCAATTGTAAATAATATTTTTTGAACAGTCATTTTCAGCCGAGGTATTAATGAATCTCGATGCAAAGCTTACACACGCCAGAAAATGGAAATAGTTCTAAATGTTAATAGAGGCAAACAGCACTGCCATTATGGTGGATCATGGGGTTGCTGCTCCTGTGTTTCCCAGTGCGCCATAGACGAAGTTATAACCTAAGCATCTGAATTCGCATTGTGTCCCAAAATTACAGCTCATTTCATGTCTGAAGCTCATTTTGGCATCACAAGATGGAGGTTTTTTTGAGAATCCTAGAAAGTGGGGACATCTGAACTTTCTCACTGTTTTAGACATCCTTCCTCCACGAGCCCACTCCAGAATGATGGAGCTTCATAGGCCCCTACTCTCCATCATAGGAGGTGGACACATGAGGAGGGGGTGATGAATTGCAGTAGTTGAAGTAGATGAATACACAGTACAAATAACATAACATGGTAAAGATTATCATAACTCTTAATGAAAAAATATATAACAAAAACAAAAAAAATCAAATTTATCTATAGTATGAATAGCATTGATTATTTTTTTAGTCTTAGTTATTTAGTAAGTACTACTACCTCCGGTCCTATTTGTAAGAAAAAGTTAACCTTTTAGATACATTGAATAACTAATGTATTTGGACCATAGTTGTCAAAATTGGGATCTCAATAAAGTTCGTTAGGGTATAGAAAAAGTGTAAATCGTAGGATTGTAACACTGATCGTAAGATCTCAACAAATAGACAAAATTATAGAAATAAACTACTTTAACGTAAAATTCTCATTAATTTAATCATCAATAGCAAATATTTTTTCCAAAAAAACATAATAGAAGGTCATTTAAAACATTGCCCAAAGCCCTAAAATATGTGTGCACAACAGTCAGAAACAGTCAGGGTTAATTATGGGTCAGTTTATGGGCTGATTCCAATTGTTTAATGACCTGGTCGAAACAGGTCTAAAGCGGGTAAAAACAAAAAATGGATTGTTGGGATCTCAAGATCCCATGATTTTAAGATCTTTCTCTAGGAGTTCAATGCTTCAGCCAAATCCAAGATCTTTGTGCCACTTAAATCGGTGGTCGGTTGCCGGAGCGGAAGATCGTAAGATTTTGGGAGTTAGAGCTAGATCCCGACAACCATGATCTGGACAATATATGAACCAAATACATAAATTATTTAAAGAATCTATAAAGCAAATTTTTTCTTATAAATGGGACCAGAGGGAGTATTAGTTTTTATTTATACTCTATTTTTTTTGGTCAAGTAGCGCAGTGGTTGGAATTTACCTTTTTAAAGGAGAACAAATGGGATGTCGCGGGTTCTAACTTTGTACCCTTGCATCTGATATCTCTACACAACTACCAACTAGGTTGGCTTAACGGGACTTGTTTATTTATACGCTATTTAATATACAGTTTCAATTATTTAATAATTATAAGAAATATTTAAATAGCGACTGTCCTGCTACACGCCATACCTCAATCCTAATTTCGGAGTATGGCCCTCTGGAAGAGAGGGACTAATATAATTGCTTCTAAAAAGGGAATTAACAAAAAAGGAGGCAGGATGAGAATAAAGTGGAATTAATGGGGATGAGTATCAGGGGGTTTGAGGCTGAGTTGTTGGGAGGTTACCCATCTTAGAGGGGTTACTCTCATTGTGGGAGTGATAAGACTCCCTATAAGAAGGCAGGCTCAAACTGACAGTAGCATATCAGTTGCCCAAATCCATAATGTGGAGAAATTATGTTGAGAGAAATAGAGAAGGACAAAATGGGAATATCCACATGGCTGAGACTAGAGTGAGAGGAAGAAACACAGTGAATTGTGTATGGGAATTCTGTTATAAGGATTCTGAGTGGAGAGAGAAGGGTATCAAGTGGAATCATACAATTTGTTAAGAGGCAGAGACCATTGGTTCTCTGAAGAAGACCTCTTGGACAATAGGATCTCACTATATTGTATTTTGCTTTGCTTTTTAGAAATAATACAACCCTCCATCTTCCGTTATTGTTTTGGTTTCTTCCTATTAGAGTGAGATATGAGAGAGAAGAGAGAAAAAGCTAAAAGAGAAAAGAGAGAAACAGATTCTGTTATTGCTTAATTGGAAAGGAGCATTATGCTCTATTTATACAAGAGGAGATGAACATTCAAGAGTTGAATCATTCAAGCTCTACAATTAAGGAAGACTTTTCTTATTCTATTAAATTAAGGCTGGACTTAATTATTCTATAGTGCTGATTATTCATATTCTAAGATATAACTCTAATACTCCCCCACAAGCTCAAGGTGGCTGCAAAGGCTGACTTGAGGCAGACAGGTTGAGCTTGCTGCTGAGCTCCATAAATCTTGAACATGAGAGAGGCTTGGTGAGGATGTCAGCCTTCTGGTCAACACCAGGAATGTGGCAGACAGTGAGAGACTTATTAATCACCTTTTCTCTTACAAAAAAGAGGTCAATTTCCATATGCTTTGTTCTTGCATGAAGAACAGGGTTATGAGCCATAGCAACTGTGCTCTGGTTGTCACAATAGATGGTTGGAGTTGTCAAGGGAATTTTTAGTTCAGCTAGCAAAGTTTGAACCCATAAAACTTCAGCTGTGGTGTGAGCCAAGCTGCGATACTCTGCCTCAGCACTAGAACGAGCAACAACAGTTTGCTTTTTGGACCACCAAGAGATCAAATTAGGGCCTAAGTACACAGCTGACCCAGAGGTGGATCTTCTATCATCTGGGTCAGCAGCCCAGTCAGCATCACAATAGGCTTGCAGAGAGAACGGAACAGTGGAGGCTGGAGTGAACAATAAACCAGAGGTGATAGTTCCTTTTAGGTAGCGCAGAATACGCTTGACAGCTAGCCAATGGGACTCCAAGGGGTGTGCCATGAATTGACATACTTTGTTAACAGCATAGCAGATTTCTGGCCGTGTAATTGTTGCATACTGCAGGGCCCCTACAATGGACCGGTAGTGGGAGGCATCAGACAAGGCAGCAGACCCTGTTTTGATGAGTTTGGTGGAGGAAGCCATAGGAGTAGCAACTGGATTGGAATTCTCCATATCAGTTTTGATTAGCAAGTCCCTTAGGTACTTAGATTGAGTGAGAAGGAGATTTCCATTGGACAATTTCTTCACCTCAAGGCCCAAAAAATAATCCAAGTCACCAAGTTGTTTGAGAGCAAACACATGATTTAATTGTTGAGTAACTTGCTTGATGAGAGGAGGGGAGTTTCCTGTGATGATTATATCATCAACATAAACCAGCATATAAACGACAGCATTGTGATGCTTGTAGATGAAAAGTGAAGTATCACACTTGCTGTTTAGAAAGCCAAAGGATAAAAGAGTGGTTTTGAGTCTTTCAAACCATTGCCTCGGGGCTTGTTTTAGGCCATACAAGGCCTTGTGCAAGTGACAAACCAGAGATGAATTAGGGGCAGTAAATCCAGGGGGTTGCATCATATAGACCTCCTCTTCAAGAATGCCATTCAAAAAGGCATTGTTTATGTCCAACTGCTGCAAAGGCCAATTGTAAGTTAGAGCAAGAGTCAAAATAATTCTAATTGTGACCGGTTTAATAACAGGGGAGAAAGTTTCATTAAAGTCAAATCCATGGACTTGATGGAACCCCTTAGCAACAAGCCTAGCTTTGTACTTATTTACTGTCCCATCAGCATTTTCCTTTACACGAAAAACCCACTTGCAGCCTATTGCTTTCCTGTTAGCAGGCAGTGGTACCAAAGACCAAGTGTTGTTCCTTATCAAGGCACCATACTCCTCTTGCATAGCAGCAAACCACTTAGGATCTTGGAGAGCAGTTTTAACACTCTTAGGCTCAGAATTGACAAGAAAAATGGAAGGATTTAGACGAGGTAAGGGTACACCAGATTTAGTTCTAGTAGTCATAGGATGAGTATTGGTGGGGGGAGGCTGAAGGTTAGGATCCCTAGGAGCATAAATAGAGGAGGAGGATAGTGAAGTGGTAGTAGTAGGCTGATTGTTGGCATTTGAAGAGGGTGAAGGAGTAGGATTAGTGCTGGCTGTTTGTGTTATAGGGGTTGCTGACCCAGAGGCAGTAGGTGTGGGGCTGGAATTGGATTGGGAAGAAGAAGAGGAGTGTGAGACAATAGGTGTGGGGCTGGAATTGGATTGAGAAAAAGAAGAGGAGTGTGAGACAATAGGTGTGGGGCTGGAATTGGATTGAGAAGAAGAAGAGGAGTGTGAGGTAGTGGAAGCAGTAGGAACGGGAAAAACATGAGGGAGAGCTTGTGTGTTAAGGGTTACTTTAGATGAGGAGGAGGATGGAATGGTTGATGAGGGGAGAGAAACATTAGAGGAAAAAAGATCATTGTAAGGAAATTTGGACTCGTTGAAAAGAACATCTTTAGAGATGAATATTCTACCACTTGGAGAGAGACATTTGTAACCTTTGTGAGCTGTAGAGTACCCTAGAAAAAGGCACTCGTGGGATCTAAAGTCAAATTTTTGAGAGTTGTATGGGCGAAGGAGAGGAAAACAAGCACACCCAAAGACTTTAAGGAATTTATAGTCAGGATTTTGATTGAAAAGGACAGCATATGGTATATGTTGATTGAGAGACATGGTTGGTAACCTATTTATTAGGTAGACAGCGGTTAAAAAGGCATGGTCCCAAAATTTGAGAGGTAAAGAGGCATGACTCAAGAGGGTTAAACCAAGATCAACAACGTGTCTATGCTTCCTCTCCACTACACCATTTTGGTGATGAGTGTGAGGGCAAACTAGGCGATGAATAATGCCAAGATCAGAAAGAAACTTTGTAAATGGGCGAAATTCACCACCCCAATCAGTTTGGACAGATTTAATAGGAAATCCAAATTGTAATTCAGCCATGACTTTGAATTGTTTAAAGATAGTTAAGGCTTCAGATTTATTTTTGAGCAAATAGATCCAAGTAAATCTGGTGTATGCATCAACAAAGGTGATGTAGTAGGTAAAGTTTTGGGAGGATTTGACTGGGGCAGGACCCCATAGGTCACTGAAAATTAATTCAAGAGGAGAGTGATATTGAGTTTGTGACTGAGGGGAGTGCAGCCTATGTGCCTTTCCCATACAGCAGGCAGAACAAAAGATAGATTCAGCTTTATTAGAATAAGGAATATTACATTGAGCTAAAACAAGTCTCATAGTATTAGAATTTGGATGACCAAGGCGTAAATGCCAAGTATGTTGAGAATTATATGAGTTATTAGCTGATACATTTTGATTAGAAACTGAAACCCTATCACTAGTGCTGGAATCAGATCTTGAAACATGAGCATTAGAGTCTAAGGTGAGACATGAGACTTGACTTGTTGAAGGAGACTTAAGAAGCTGAAGATGGGAAAATTGGTACAGGCCATCACTTCCTACACGACCTTGGAGCAGAATTTCATTGGTAGCCTGAGATTTGACATAGCACATATCAGCATGAAACTCAAAGAAAACTCTATTATCAAGACAAAATTTGCTGACACTTATCAGGTTCTTTGTAATAGAAGGAACAAGCAGTAAATTATGAAGAGCTAATGGAGTGTTAGGTTTAGAATGAGAAGGAAAATAAGAAGAGCCTGAAGAGTGAATGTGCAAACCTTGACCGTTACCAATGAAGATCTGATCAGGACCTTCAAAAGGTGTGGTTTGCTGTATGTTTTGAGAGGCATTGGTAACATGATAAGAAGCTCCTGAGTCTGGGAACCAGGCACTGCTTGGAACTGAAGTTGTGTTAGCAATCATAGCATTGGGAGTGATATGTGACTGAGGAACAGGGAGAGGGGCAAGTCTTGGTTGATAGCTTGGGCGTGACCGAGTGTTAACCATGGGCTGAGCAAACTGAGGTCCACCAATTGGTTGATACAGATAGAAATTTTGTAGGTTCATTGTTTGAAAATCAGCAGGTATGTTAGGTTGAAATTGTTGATTGAACCTATGATAGCAGTTAGCAGCAAGATGACCATATTTGAAGCAAACTTGACATTGAATGTTGCTGAACCTACCTCTCCCACGGCCGCGTCCACCACCACGGCCAGCTGCACGGCCTCCTCTTGAATAGGTTGGATTAAAGGTTGAATTCACAGCTTGTTCATTGTTCTTGTTATTCGAGTTATCAGTTTCAGGTTGAGAATTGGCTTGAGTGAGATTCACTGAGGCAGCCACCTCCATTTGTGAGTGTTTCTTATACTTGTTGTATCTCATCTCATGAGCAAGAAGAAGAGCTTCAACTTCTTCAAGTTCTACTGAATCAAACTTGCTTTCAATAACTGAAATAACAGAGGCAAAGTCTTGAGGAAGACCTTCAAGAATCACATCAATGTGTTGCTGATCTGGAACTGGATCTCCTACTGAAGCAAGCGCGTCAACAAGAGCTTTGATGCGAACCAGATAATCACCAACAGATTTGTCTTCAAGTGTTGTAGATCTGAGTTCCGCTCGTAGTTGTCTTGCTTTCGCACGTGTAAGCTTTTGAAAATGCGCAAGAATACGTTCCCAGAGCTCGTAGGAATGAACGCATCCAAGAACACGTGAAAGAATTGAAGGTGAAAGCGTGGATTGAAGCCACGTCATAAGCCACTGATCTTGCGTAATCCAGGTGCGATACGCAGGGTTCTCACGAGCAGCGGCACGATCTTCATCAGTCAGGTATTGATTCGGTATGTCACGAAGGTAAAGGTAGTTTTGAAGATTGTTCGCGTTAACGAAAGGATCTACTTGTTGGCGCCAAAGTAGGAAATTCTTCTCATCAAGTTTTTCTGTGATTTTGAGTTGGAAGGACATAGATGTTGGCATCAAGGATTATCATTGACTTTTCTACATTCTGCAAAGAGATTTATCTCCATCTGTTGTCAATTACTGTTTCAGTTCTTCTACTATAGAGCATTACTTCTCAGAGTTCATCTTCAATACAAACCCGTCTTATTTCATTTTACTATTTTCTGTTGGATCTATTAATTACTTGACAGCATTTTCCACTTCATATTCGTAATAGGAGTTATGACTGCAACTATCATTACTTCATGCATTTTTATTTCCTCTTCATTCAATTTTTCTCTTGATCTGTATCCGACTGCTTGTGGTCAAATTCTCAAATATATTTTTTTCCCTTGCAGAAATCTATGAAGAAAGAACACTTCTTGTGGCAGTTGTTCAATTTAGAAAATGATTTTGTTAATACAACTGAGGAACTTGAAGTTGAAAAAAGAAGCCGTGAAGGTGCTATTGAAGAATTAGAAAAATTTGAAAATGAAATCAGTAAAAAGAAAAAAGAGCAAGCCAAACATCTGAAAGAAGTTACGCTACGTGAGAAGAAAATAACTGAGAAAAGCAACAAACTCGACAAGACTGTGAGTGTTTTTTCTACATTTGGGGTGTGTTGTAGGAATTAATCACTTCATTTTCAACTCTAGCCATTGAACTTTTCAAGTTGATCTGGTACTATGCATTTTAAGCATTGTTGTTTTTGGTCATATTTCCTGTGAATTATGAAGAAAACCGGATTAAAAATTTTAGTGTCCAAATTTAGAAAATGGCTTTGGTGCGAGTGGTATAAATTGGACTACAATTTGAAATCCCCTCCCTCCTCTGAACTGCAGTTCCTTCAGAGACAAAAATGAGATATAGATCTTGGACTATGCAAAAATAATCTTGCTTTGTTTTTTAGTTTTGTTTCCCTTTGTTGATTGTATTTGTTATGCTTTGAGTAGTTTATGGGATTTTTCTGGTTTTCTATCCTTGCAGCAACCAGAGCTTCTTAAATTAAAGGAGGAAATGTCTCGCATTAGTACAAAAATAAAAAAAGGGAACAAGGAGCTTGTCAAAAAAAAGGAAGACCAAAGGAAGCATGCCGTTGAGATAGCAAAGCTAAAGAATGATATTCAGGATCTTACGGCAAAAGTGGAAGACGTGCAGGAAAAGAGTCGAAATGTTGGTGGCCAGCTCAAGTTAGATGGCAATGACTTGGAAGAATATTATAGAATGTGAGTGTTTATTTGCTGTAGATGAGCATCACCATTCTATATTTTATTTTCCCCCCTCTTTTAGGTTAGAACAGGATTATTGCTTAGTGCTTGGAGTGAGCAAATAAACCACGTATAAAAAGGAATATGGGGGGGGGAGACAAAGGAGGACTGATAGAACTGGAACCCAGAACCTGGGAAATCTTATTGAATCTGATAGAAGCTGGTACCATCAAACAATGAAATTTAATAGTAATTACAACGAGTTTCCAAGTAATTCGAGAGTCTCCGCTCTCTCCCTTCCAAAGAACCTCTTATAGTTTTCCACGTTAACCCATGTAACCTATGGTTTCCTCATTTTATTTACACTCCCTAAATAAATACTTAACTGCTACTAAATGTTAATATTAAAAACAGTAACTGCTAATAAAAGTAACTGCCTGGCAGAATAGAATGACCATATTCAGTTTTGGTTCTTAGTCATTCTTGGGGTCTAACAGTACTCCCTCAAAAGATTCACCTTGTCCTCAAGGGGAATGATAAAACAAGTGTCCACTGGGTCCCATACCTTGAAGTAGAGTGACAGAGCAAGGCATGAAACATGATAACTCTTGCCTGGATCATACTCTCTGTTTTGAGTGGTGTGTTTGACCCAAAAACATAGCATGACAGCAGTAGGCATTAACAGTGGCGGTTCGATCAAATCAGACGACAATCCACCCTTCACCAAGGACTCGTTTGGATCTGGCGGCTTTGGCGGATCCAACTTTAGTGAAAGCCCATCTCTCTCCGGTAATTGTTCTAGGCAGGGTTGCCCTCAATTCGAAAACAATTCTTGATCCATGTCTATCGAAGTGTCTACCAAAGGCCATAAATTTGCATAAGCATTCACAAGGGCATTTTCTTTTCTGCTATCATTGTTAGATTTAAATTTACTTGATTAATGTCTTGCTGTTGAACATCCAGTGGACCTTCAACGGCTATCGACTCTGATTCAATTTCAGTGTCCTCTTCTTATACAGAAGATATAGTCAATATGTCCCGATATTTTGGCTTGAAACGCCAGATAAATGCAAGCCAAAAGGTACACCAGTGCGACCGTTGGCGAGCACAACCTAAGAGTAACTTCAAACTCTCTGCCAGTTTCTTCTCCTCAGATGTTTCTCCCTTTTTGAAATATTCCTCAATGCTTAGTACCGACCAGTATGCATCTTCTTCTCCATCAAACACTCGAAATTCCATGTCAGGCACGGTGTACCACAGATCCATGAAACTGGTATCGAACAATGAAATTTAATAGTAACCACAATGAGTTTCCATGAAATTTGAGACTCTTGGTTCTCTCCCTCCAAGAAATTGAGAGCTTGGTCTGTCCCTCCCAAATAACCTCTTCTAATTTTCCAGGATAACCCACCTAACCTACGGTTTCCTCATTTTATTCCGACTCCCTAAATAAATACTAATAACTGCTACTAATGCTAATGTTAAAAACAGTAACTGCTAATGTAAAGTAACTGCCTGACAGAATAGAACAGCCACATTAAATTTTGGTTCCTAGTAATTCTTTAAGGTCTAACTCAATCTAATCTGCTACTTACCCACTATTAGGGATGACAAAAAAACCCTACCCATGGGTAAAACCCGTCATGGGTACGGGTTGGATAGCTTAACGGTATCCACGGGTAAAATAAACAAATATTTATTTACCTATTTCTTTACGGGCACATATACAAATTTGATGGTACCCGTACCAGCGGGCATCTGTATCTGTTAATAATTAACAAAATTATTCAAATATTAATTAATTTGTTTATTCTAAAATAATAATAATAACAATAATAATTATTATTTTGTTAAATATGAAATTATTATTATTATTATTTTGTTAAATATGCAACTATTGTTATTATTATTATTTTGGTGAATATGAAACTATTATTATTTTGTTGAATCTAGTATTATTAATTGATAAAAGAAGAAATAAATGAATGTGATTTATTTTTGTTATTATTATGTGTTAAATTTTAAACTATTTTTTTTGTCTTTTAAAATAGATAAAAAATTAATTAATTATATTAATCTTTTTTAAAAATATTTAAATAATAGTATCCATGGATATCTGTTAAATACCCGTGGGTATCTCAAAATCCACAAATATCCGTCTGACGGATACCCGCACGGGTATGAGACCGATACGAGTATCATATTACTAAACGGGGTGGGCAGCAGGAGACTAGTACCCGTGTCCATGGGGACCCATTACCATCCCTACCCACTATATACGTCTTCCTCTAGGCTGGATTCTAGGCAATAATACCTAAATTCCTGCTAATAAAGAATTTTAATTAACTCCAATCAATTTTCTTAATTTAATTAAAAAGTAATTGTATTTTGCACTTTATGGGAATTTGTCTCCACGAGAATGAAATGGTTATTGGAAAATAAAATCCATATTTATTGAACGGTATTATAGAAAATGGTTGTGTTTTTAATCAAGATCGGAGGGAGTATGTTATTGATCATGCTTGATAGATAAGTCATGTGTTAGACTGTTAGGGATGTTGGCTAATCTATTTCATATACCATGTTTATTGTTTATCTCTTTGTTGAAGAAATGTTTTTTCCTTATATGGGTTCAAATTGCTCATTTGATGGTTAGTGTCAAAATTAACCAGAGAAAGAAAACAAATATCATTGGCCAGAAGTTGGAACATGTATAGATATGTAATACAGTAAATAGGGCTTAGTGTATGTTAGTTACGTCAGCTGTATTCTGTTAGTTTGTTATGCTGATGTGTAACAATTGATTAGATTCTAGCTGCTCTTAGAGCCTTTGTATTCTTTCATTGTGAATGGATCAATATATGAAATACATACTTTGCTTTATCCTTTTCTCTCTTATGATACTATCATGGTATCAGAGCATTCCTTTTTCCGATCCAGTGACCTTGATCTATGGCGTCTCTGTTTCGCAACGACGACGCGTTTCCTTCTTCTCATGTTAAGCTCTCACATTTTATCTCCGTCAAGCTTGATGATAAGAACTTCAAGCAATGGAAACAACAAATTGACGGTGTTGTTTGTCGCCACAAGTTTCAACGCTTCGTCACGGTTCCGGCGATTCCTCAGCATTCTCCTTCGACTTCCGATCGTAATCTTAGCGAGGTGAATGATGCATATCTTGATTGGGAACAACAAGATGCTCTCATTTGGACGTGGCTTCTCTCCACGATCTCTGATTCGCTGCTTCCAAAGCTCGTTGACTGCACACACGTGTGGCTGGTTTGGACGGCAGTACATCGTTATTTCGCCACGTTACTCACGACGAAAGCACGTCAGCTTTGCTCGGAATTGCGTCGTCTCTCCAAAGGTACTCTCACAATTGAGTCGTTCATGGTGCGCGCTCGTGAAATCAATGAATCCTTGATCTCAATGGGGGATCCTGTTCCTCTTCGTAACCTAATTGAGATAGTTCTTGATGCACTCCCTGAGGAGTATGATTCTATTGTCGTTGCTGTTAATAGCAAGGAATATCTTAGCTCTTTGGATGAACTTGAGTCTTGTCTCCTTGCACACGGATTGAGATTGGAAAAGCATCGCAAAGCGGTCCTCACGGAACCGGTATCGGTCATTTTGATGCAGGCTCCGTCGTCTGACTCATCTTCTCTGGTGGAACCTTCGTCGCCTGCTACGAAGTCGTTTCTCACTGGTACTAGTCACGTGACTGCTCATGCTGAAAACAACAATTACAACTCCAGAGGAGGTCGTTTTGGCCGTGGCGGTGGTTGTTTTGGCCGTGGCGGTGGCCATTTTGGTAAGCCTTGTCAAATCTGTCACAGAAGTGGACATGATGCTTCTGTTTGTTATTACAGGTATTCACAATCCACTTCTATGCAGTTTTCACCTCAACGTGCTCCATTCAATCCTTTCTTGATGAATGTTCGACCAGTGTATGCACCTTCTTTTGGTTATGCTTCTCCTAGACCAGCTGCATCTAGACCTTCTCTGCCACAAGCGTTTATGGCGAGTTCTGATCCAAACTTCAGCAATCAGTGGTGGTATCCTGATTCAGGTGCGTCACATCATGTTACACCTGATTCTTCTAATGCATCTCATGCTCACTCTGTGACTGGCTATGAGCAAGTATTCATGGGGAATGGCCAAGGTTTGTCTATCAACTTTATAGGTTCCATGAATTTTACCTCACCTAACTCTCCTCACAAACCACTCACCTACACAATTTACTCCTAGTACCTCACATCACCAAAAACCTTATCAGAGTTAGCAAATTTGCCCAAGACAATTAGGTTTTCTTTGAATTTCACCCTTACTTTGTCTTGTTAAATCTCAGGCTTCTTCTGAGGTGCTTCTTCATGGAGTTATAGGAGCTGATGGTCTATACAAGTTTCAAAGTCCCTCTTCTCAAGTGTCCAAGTCTCTCCCTAGTCTCAATTCTAGTGTAGCTCTAGGTTCAAATAATTGTAATCCTAGTACTTCATGTAATACTTTACTTCATTCTAATGCCAATTGTATTACTGCTTGTACTCCTTCAGTTTCAATGAATAAAAGTGACTTTTTCTGTGTTAATTCACCTCTTGTTCATGCTACTACCTTTGCTAATTCTCAGTCTCTACAGCACCCTTCTGTTTCTAATATTATTCCTAATAGCAAGTATGCCCTGTGGCATACAAGGTCAGGACATCCTCATTACCAAGCTCATGCAGAGCTGCTGAAAACCTGTAATATTCCTATACCTCCTAAGTCTCAAGCTGACCTCTGTACTGCCTGTTGTTTAGGGAAATCTCACAGACTGCCTACCTCTTTATCCAGTGCTGTGTATGCACAACCTTTTGAGTTAGTGGTTTGTGACTTATGGAGACCAGCTCCCATACAGTCTTCAAGTGGTTACACCTATTTTTTGATCTGTGTAGATGCCTTTTCCAGATTTGTTTGGGTCTTCCCTTTGAGACTTAAATCTGACACACTCACTCAGTTTGTCCAATTCAAAACCATGGTTGAACTTCAATTCAACATGCAAAATCAAAGTTGTTCAGAGTGATGGAGGAGGTGAATTTAGGCCTTTCACCAAATATCCATTATCAAAATGGCATAGTTGAACGTAAACATTGTCATATTGTAGAAACAGGTGTAGCATTATTAGCTCACTCTAACTTACCTCTCAAGTTTTGGGACCATGCTTTTGTCACAGCTACTTACCTAATTAATAGGTTACCTAGTGTGTCTCTTGCCAACCAGTCCCCTTATTTCAAGCATCTTAACAAAATACCTGACTGCTTTCATCTTAAAGTTTTTGGCTGTGCCTGTTTTTTCGTTCTTTCGTCCCTATAACTCTCATAGGTTGGATTATCGGTCCCAAGAGTGCATATTTCTTGGCTATTCTACCATTCATAAGGGTTATAAGTGTCTTGCTGGTAATGGCCGCATTTACATTTTCAGGGATGTCCTTTTTCATTGAAACAAAATTTCCTTACTCCCTTCTATTTCCCTCTTCTACTTCTTCTGCCTGGTCTATACCAGCAATTCATGTGTCTGCTGTTCCTCTTACTCAAGTCAATTCTATTCCTGCTACACCTACTGCATCTAGTCCTTGTAGCTGCCCTATTTCTGCTCCTATTAATTCTGCCAGTTCTCCCATCATAACATCTCCCAACAATGCTTCCTCTACTTCTGGAAACTCTCCTTCCCACTCTCCCATTACTCCCTCTTCTCTCACCCCTCTCACATCTGATATTGCAGAAGCTAGCACCACTTCTCCATCCTCTGTCCAAGAGAATATTTCTCTTCTCAGCCCTGTTTCAGCCTCCCAACAACCCTCTGTACATCCCTATAATACTCATTCCCTGCAAACTAGAGCCAAAAGTGGCATTATTAAGCCTAGACTTCACCCTACTCTTTTACTCAACACATATGGAACCTACTTCAGTTGGTCAGGTTTTGGCTTCTCCCCATTGGTCTCAGGCTATGAAAGATGAATATCAGGCATTATTAAAGAATCAGACTTGGACCTTGGTGTGACCATCTGTTTCTAGGAAGCCAATTGGTTGCAAGTGGGTATTTAGGGTGAAGGAGAACCCTGATGGCTCCATTAACAAATACAAGGTCAGGTTGGTAGCTAAAGGCTTCCATCAGCAAGTTGGCAGTGATTTTACTAAAACCTTTTCTCCTGTGGTAAAGCCTGTTAACAGTCAGAATTGTCTTGACTCTTGTAGTTACTCACAAGTGGTCTATACAACAGATTGATGTGAACGATGCCTTTTTAAATGGCACCCTTGAGGAGGAAGTCTATATGCAGCAGCCTCCTGGGTTTGAAGCTGCTGACAAGGCTCTTGTATGCAAGTTGAACAAAGCTATTTATGGGCTCAAGCAGGCCCCTAGAGCCTGGTTTAACAAGCTTAAAGGTTCTTTACTGCATCATGGTTTTCATGCTAGCAGATGTGATCCTAGTCTGTTTCTCCTTCACACTGCAAGCTTAACCATAATGGTGCTGGTGTATGTTGACGATACTATCATCACTGGTAATTCTGCCTCCTTTATTACTGCATTAATCAAAAATCTGAATACTGATTTTCCTCTCAAACAGCTAGGCAAGTTGGACTATTTCCTTGGCATGGAGGTTACACACTTGCCAAATGGTTCACTCCTTCTCTCTCAAGCTAAATATCTGACTGATTTGCTGGCTAAGATTAACATGCTCAATGCTAATGGCACGCCTACTCCTATGGTGTCCACAAGTAAATTGCCTAAACTTGGTTTTGAAGCTGTTTCTGATCCAACTCGATTCAGATCTGTTGTGGGGGCTCTTCAATATGCCACTCTCACCCGACCTGAAATTTCATTTTCTGTTAATGAGGTTTGCCAATTCTTGTCTAATCCCTTGGAGGAGCATTGGAAGGCAGTTAAAAGGATCTTGAGGTACCTCAGTGGCACTCTGCATCATGGCTTGCTGGTTCAGCCTGCCTCACCCCATCAACCTCTATCTTTGCTTGGGTTCTGTGATGCTGATTGGGCATCAGACCCTGACGACAGAAGGCGTACCTCCGGAGCTTGTGTTTTTCTAGGTCCAAACTTGATATCTTGGTGGTCTAAAAAGCAGCAGTTGGTAGCCAGGTCAAGTGCTGAGGCTGAGTACAGGAGTATGGTTCAGCTTGCTGCAGAAATCCTATGGGTGCAGTCCCTTCTTCAAAAACTTCACTGCAGAATTCACACTCCCAAACTTCTGTGACAACCTTAGTACAGTTACTCTTGCTCATAATCCTGTGCTGCACAATAGGACCAAGCACAATAGGACCAAGCATATGGAATTGGACATATTCTTTGTAAGGGAAAAAGTGCTCTCCAAGAATCTCATAGTTGAGCATGTGCCAGCTCAAGATCAGTGGGCAGAGACTTACTGACGAAGCCTCTTTCAGCAGCCAAATTTCTCCCTCTGCGTGACAAACTGAGAGTCTTCAACTTAGTCTGCTTGACGCATCCTCAGTTTCTAAGGGGGAATAATAGAGTAAATAGGGCTTAGTGTATGTTAGTTATGCCAGCTGTATTCTGTTAGTTTGTTATGCTGATGTGTAACAATTGATTAGATTCTAGCTGCTCTATATAAGAGCCTTTGTATTCTTTCATTGTGAATGGATCAATATATGAAATACATACTCTGCTTTATCCTTTTCTCTCTTATGATATTCTATCAATATGTTATAATTTGTCTATCAGGCAGAGATTTGTAGATGGTGTTGCCGGCATATGGTATTTCTTTTATACAGTTGCCGGCATATGGTATTTCTTTTATACAGTTGCCATTTTCTTGTCATTAGCCATTGGCCATGCATTGCCAATTTCTTGTCATTAGCTGTTGGCCATGCATTGCCAATTTCTTGTCATTAGCTGTTGGCCATGTGTTGCCAGTACTTGGAAGATGCATTCATTTCAACTTTTGATTTGTTATTAATTTTTTTTCTTCTTTTCTTTCCTTTTATGGAACTTGTAATGATGTTATAACAGAAAGGAGGAAGCCGGGATGAAAACCGCAAAGCTTAAAGAGGAAAAAGAACTGTTAGATAGGCAGCAACATGCTGACACTGAAGCTCAAAGGAATTTGGAAGAGAATCTTCAACAATTAGAAAGCCGGGAGTCTGAGCTGGATTCACAGGAAAAAAAACTGCGAGAAAGACTTAAAAAAATTCTTGATAGTTCTGCAAAGAATAGGGATGCTGTTGAAAATTTGAATAAAGAACTGCGTGAGATGAAAGAAAAACATAATGAGTCCAAGTAAATCAATCTGTTATTCATTTTTAATTTTAAGGTATCCTACTGCATTAAAGTCTTTGTTGTGGACATTTGTGAAATGGTGTGCAACTTTTGACCTGCAGGAGAAAATATGATAACTTGAAGATAAGAATTGGAGAAGTAGAAAAGGATCTACGCGAATTGAAGGCTGATAGACATGAAAATGAGAGAGGTGCTAAATTGTCTCAGGCTGTGGCGACTCTGAAGCGCTTGTTTCAAGGAGTCCATGGTCGCATGACCGATCTTTGTAGGCCAACCCAGAAGAAGTATAACTTGGCCGTTACTGTTGCTATGGGTAAATTAATGGATGCTGTTGTTGTTGAGGATGAAAAGACTGGGAAGGAATGCATCAAGGTTAATGAGATTTCTCAATATACTAGTCTGCCATTTTATTTTTCAAAACTTTATGATTATGAAGAAGTGAGACTGTTCATATTTGCTATTGATGGTTTTTATTGCTTTTAATTTTAGTACATTTTTCTTATAGTTGATTACACAGTGAATAAAAATATAAAAGAGAAAAAAACTAGAGAACCATTAATAAGTAGTGATGTTAGTGAATTCTAACATGGACCGACCACCTTGATGGTGGTCCTTGGTGTTCCAATAGGTTATGGCCATTAGATTCTTCACATCTTCTCCATTGCACCCTATACCCTCCGTACAAAATTACCCCTTCCCCAATCCATCTTTTAGCCACCCTCTTTGACCTTTGCCCCAAATTCTCAGCCCTCTTCCCCAACCTTTGATGTGCACCCATGCGGTCCCCCTTTTCCTAAAAAAACCCTTGCCTCCAAGTCTATAACTGTATGAGGAAAAATCAAAAGGAGATAGAAGAAAAAATAAACCTTAAAATAAAAAACCAGGGGATTGCGAAACCTTATAGGAACAGAAGCTTGCAAAATCCACCACCTCCCATGAAATTGAGCTCAGCTGGGTTACTCTTGGAGGAAGTGAGATGGGAGACCCATAGTGGAGTGCCAGTTGTGATTGGGGCACTTCTGTTTGAGATTGCATGATGGGTGGTGAAGCTTCTGGTTTCAGGGAGGTGTGTGATTGCTGTGAAAGAGAATAAGGATTAGGAAGAGAGGATAAGCCGGTGTGTAGGGTCTACTTTTTACCATGAGGACCAAATGATCAATATTGCTTAAAGATGGTCCACCGTGGTCCATGTTATAATATGCCTAGTGATGTATGTATATAGGTACACTACCTCTGCTTACATAACTATCATGTACTTCAAAATAAGGAAGAAAGTCAGAAGAGGCATAAACCCTGTGATCTGAAAGCCTAAACATGAACCTAGCTTGCCGCTTTCAAGCTGATGGATGTAAATAGTTACAATTAGCCTTCTGCTTCTGCCATTCTAGCGGATTTTATTTGACACGTCTCTTTGGTTGCAATGACAAGATTGCTGTAATTGACTTTATTGTTCTTTGACTTCATTTGTGTTAAAAATACCAGAAGTAGAACTGTTGCTTCCTATTTCTTTGGTTTTTATGACATGATTCTTGTATTTTATTTTTTTGAAGGTTGTTGTAATTGCAACTGCTGAATGCTATATTTTTGGCATAAATAAGCAATTTTCTGTGTTTGAACTTTGAAGTTCTATATACTTATTGGAATGTTTGTTTTGGTGTTTCTCTACAGTATTTAAAAGAGCAGAGGCTTCCTCCCCAGACATTTATTCCTCTACAATCTATTCGAGTGAAGCCAATAATGGAAAGATTACGCACATTAGGTGGTACAGCAAAACTGGTTTTTGATGTTATTCAATATCCTTTTTTTTAACTAGTGGTTGCTTTGAGGAACCTGGTTTTGTTCTTTGACTTTATTGTTCTTTGAATTTGGTCTATCAACTCGTTTTTAGATCTATTTTGAAATTTACCTTCCAACCTAGCTTGTCCATCAAGACTTTATTGCTCAATGGATTTAAAAAACAAACAATATTTGATATCAACCGCATTACTTGAAAATTTCTCAATCTGAAAAAGCACAAAAAAGGTGATGGGTCACCATCCATTACCGCACTCTACCTTTTTGCTTACCGCAGTTATTTGTCCAGTGGTTTTGTCCCTACAAAATATATTTGGTTTGCACGCCTCCTTCTAAATTTAGATAGTATTTCAAAATTTTACAGGAATGAGTTAAGACCAGTTAAAAGACAGGCATATATATGTCTATTTTTGTTGGTGGTTACTTTTTCAGTAATTGTGATATGTAGAGCAGAAGACAACCATCATTTTTACATTATAAGAAATTTGTCGGTCTAAATTCTTTTGTTAATCTGTAAAAATTTACCACTTGCACTGTTCCCACTTATCTTGTGCTGTACTGATTTACGTTTTTTCTTCCGTTTGTCTGATGTTTCCCATATCTCACTAAAAACAAATCCTCTCCCTAATTAGATGTAGTTTTTCCAGTTGCGATCTTTTTTTTCAGTGGTTTCCTTTCATCGAATTTGAAATGCCGTTGTACGTCCTATCAATTTGTTGAACTCCTATAAAGATAGTCCACTACTGGATTTAAACTACGGAATCTGCATACATTGAGCATAGCTCGTTCTTGTATTCTTTCCCCTCTATAGTCATATTTCATGAAATTTAACTTATATTGATGCATTTTAATATTAACTAATATGCCTATAATGAACTTGTTTTAAGCTTTTCTTAACTATTGCAAGTTTGATCCCCCCTTGGAGAAGGCAGTTCTATTTGCTGTTGGGAATACTCTTGTTTGTGAAGACCTTGAGAAAGCCAAACTTTTAAGCTGGAGTGGAGAGAGGTTTAAAGGTAATAATGCTTTATTGACATTATTTACCTGTTTTGTATTATGCTATACTAACACACATCATTATTAATTAAACGGGGTACTTGGATATTCCCTTTTGATTTCTTATCTGTTTTTCCTCTGGCTTCTTGTTATGCTTTCTTTTTGTTTAATCAAATCTATAACTTCTTTTCGACTCATGATCTTTACACCTTGATTTCTTTTTGTTGTGCTGTTGCTTTTCAAAGATCTGAACTTCCCTTTTGTTTTTTGAGAATTCTACTGTGTACTTGCTATGCATGTGATGCATTCTTGGTGCCTTGAATCTTGGCTGAATACAAAATGGTGAACATTTCCATATGTAATTTGATCAGTTGTAACTGTGGACGGAATTTTGCTGACGAAATCCGGCACAATGACTGGTGGCACTAGTGGTGGAATGGAAGCAAGATCAAAACAGTGGGATGACAAGAAATTTGAAGGTTTGTACTAAATATATTTTTAACTTGGGTCAAAGAATTTGCTCTTGAAATAAGCATTTTGTTTTTCAGCATATGTTAAGAAAAAAGAGCAGTATGAATCGGAGCTGGAAGAGCTAGGATCAATAAGAGATATGCATCTCAAAGAGTCTGAATTAGAGGGGAAAAAAAGCGGACTTGAAAAGAAAATTCAATATGCTGAGATTGAAAAGGTAACTCCATAAAAATATCAACTGTTCTGGCATGCATGCTGCCACTAGCCTTTGAAGGTTTGTGTGCGAGACAATCAAGCATGCAAAGCTTATTTCTTTTAGTGTGTTGATGTGTGTTAGGACACTGACAGTAAATTGGTGCCAGAAAGAGAATTGTTTGTCTCTGTAATTTCATCGATATTAAATAGCAGTCATGTCACTATTAAACAGTACAATTTGAAAAATCGATATTGTTCCATGATATGCTATTTATTATAAAATACTGTGAAATACCGGCTATAGCAGCGCTAGAGCACTGTTGTATAGTGGAATTTGAACAAACCGCCATTTCCCACGATCCACAGTTGACAACATTGGCAGCAACTAGGGCAATAGTTTGATATCTCTCTAATTTACCTCTTGTTAAAACCACAGTTTATCTTTAAGTTTTTTAGAGTTTTTAGTCATCTCATTTTATTATAAGTGTGACCCTACTTTTCTTCTCCCTCATTCACGAAGAGGCTTAACATTTTCTTCTCCGGGTGTAAATTTTTTTTCTCCCGCTTTTCTCTGTTCTCTGACGAAGAGTACCAGCAGCCGTTGACGACTAAGACTGTTAGAATAGGAGAGCCTTTTCTACAAAATATACACACACATACATATATATGGGTATGGATAGGAGAGCCATTTCTACGTGAGTGATTTTTTCTGGCTTCTATTCCTCAAAATATTTGAATTCTTTTTTGGTTTCACCTTTTTCCAGAGGAGCATTGAAGACAAACTTTTAAATTTTAGTCACGAAAAGGGGACCATCAAAGAAGAAATTAAACGTAGTAGTCCAGAACTGAAGAAGGTGACATTGGCAATTCCTTTGTTTCATAGCAGTGTTCTTGTATACCAAACTTGTTACTTAGTGTTTTTGTGCTGCAGTTAGGTGATGCTGTTCAAAAGAGGAATATAGAATTACTTACTCTTGAGAAAAGGATAAATGAGATTACTGATCGGATATACAGAGACTTCAGCAAGTCAGTTGGGGTTGCAAATATTCGTGAGTATGAAGAAAATCGACTCAAGGATGCTCAAAATGTAGCAGAGGAGAGGCTGAAGCTGAGTAGCCAACTTTCAAAGTTGAAATATCAGTGTGTTCCTTCTTACCTTTTTTTCTTTCTTTCTAATCACATCCCTTGTTATTGGTTGCAAGCACAACCTACGCATTACATAATACTTCACGCATGAATGCATTTGTAAGCTGGCAAGCAGCTAACTGTATGTATTTTGCTTACTGTGTTATAAAACCAAATAGTTCAGCATTAAATTGTCAAATTGGAGAAAATAATATTTGGAAGCAAATGAAGAATGAAGAAAACTACAACTACTATTAAGTCCTACAAAGTCTCGGATGCTAAGCTGTGAATATTTTTATACCCTTTTGACATTAATTGCTATATTATTTGGAGGATAGAACAGTGTTATCAAATAGCGGCGCCATGACTGCTATGACGGATATACATGCCATATCTCTAAGCAATGTAGGGCTAAATCCACCGATTCAAACCTAAAAGACTATGAGGGTGTTGGAGGTTGCAATGAAGGCAAGCCAAATGTTGCAATTAGGTGACTAGGGGCGGAGGCGGACTGCAATGAAGGAGGAATTTCCAACACACTACCCATGTATTGGTAGTTTGTTTCTACTGTCATCCAATTTCAGCAGTCAGCGTGTTGTATTATACAGCATAAGTCTTTCATTATTAGGTGTTGTATTATACAGCATAACTCTTTCATTATTAGATTCAGAGGTCACCAGTTTTAGAACAATAAAGTTAAAAAACAGGATGGGGAAGATAAGTGTTCTGGTGAGATACCAAGTTGGAGAGGAAAATGTAACTAGAAGACAAAGACAGATACAGTGAAACCTTGGAAAGATACTCGAAGAATTTAAGAATTTAATATAGCTAGTAGCATTAGTTACATTTTAACTTCAAAGACTTAGAGAAAGTGGACGGATGGTTGTTATGGATAAGAAAAAGATTAATTCAATTAAATAAAAATAGACAGCCCCTTTCATTTCCTTCTCATGTCTCAACTTTTTTTTAAAACTTTTATTTATTTTAATACTATATAATGAAATTGAAAAAACCAAAATGATGCACACATTTCATTTTTCAGCAATGATGTTTTATAGCATGTTATTTATAGTCTGATTATATATAAGAAATATTAGCAACATACTTGGTCAAAGTTCAGTTTTTTTTAAAAACTTGCCAACTATATTCCTTATTGAAATTATTCTACAGGTTGGAGTATGACCAGAATCGAGACATGAGTTCAAGAATTCAAGAATTGGAATCTTCCGTAAGTGCTTTGGAGACCGATTTAAAACGGGTACAGAACAAAGAGGCTGAAGCAAAGTTAGCAGCAGAGAAGGTTACCGAAGAGATCAATCAGTTGAAGGATGAAGCTAAAGGTATATAGTAAAGATAAAAAACACAAACACACACTCACACACTCCATTTTTGGGGCTGGGGATGTTGTTGTGACAAATTGGTTCTCTGTTTAGTACTTGGCTGCTTACCATTTGAAATAAATGGGTACACAATTTGTTGATCTTGGCCGAAGCAGACTCGCCATCATTGCTATTTTTTGTTTCTGTTGTGGGAGTTTTATGATTTCTATGTTCTTCTGCCGTTTTAGAGTGGAAATCAAAGTCAGAGGATTGTGAAAAGGATATCCAGGAATGGAAGAAGAAGACTTCTGCAGCCACAACAAACTTATCCAAACTGAATCGTCTGATAAACTCAAAGGTTCGATAAGCAAAATTTATTTGCCCGTGTAGTTTCATGCATATAATGCGTAGATAGCCAACATCTTTAGTGTCGTTACAGGAGGCTCAGATTGAGCAGATATTGGGGCAAAAGAAGGAGATATCAGAGAAGTGTGAACTAGAGCAGATTAGCCTTCCAACCATATCAGATCCTATGGATACTGATAGCTCAACTCCGGGTCCAGTTTATGACTTTGATAAACTCAGTAAAAAAGATAAGAAACACTCTGGCAGGGATAAAATAGAGCTAGATTTTAAGCAAAAAATGGATGCATTGATATCTGAAATCGAAAGAACAGCACCCAATTTGAAGGCATTGGACCAGTATGAGGCTCTGCTTGAAAAAGAAAGAGCTGTAACTGAAGAGTTTGAAGCTGTTAGGAAAGAAGAGAAGGAAAAAGCCGATAGATTCAATGTAGTAAAGCAGAAGAGGTACGGTTTTTATTTCTTTCAATTTGTCATTATTTGTCTTATTTATAATAATAGTTCATAGCTAATAGTTAGGGCATGTATGGTTTGGGTGTTCGACTACGTAGCTTCCTTGTGCACTCCAGTTGCTATTGTGGCGTGAATGGCTGCTAGGCAAGGCCACGCCATAAAATTGTGATGCAACACACATTAAATGACGACCTGTGGCAGCTGTCGCAATAGTAGCTTATAAATTTCTTTAAGCTCCCTTGCCATTGTAGCATAATTCTTTTAGAAATTCTAATTGAGTGCGAGTCTATTTTTTAATAAGACATTTATATTTCTTATAAATGTATCCCTGAATAAGTCTATCGGTTTAAGTATGTATTTACGTAGACTAACATAATTAAAATTATTGAAAAGGTCCGTGAACATATTATTTTTATCACAATGTACAAGATTTATTACAACAATATTATTATTATTATTATTATTATTATTATTATTGTAATTGTTATTGTTATTGTTATTATTATTATTTCACTTAAATAGGCTGTGACCTTGTTATGCCTGGAATGCTTTTCAGATGACATTAAACTTATCTTTTTGGTTAAATAAACTTTTAAGATAGCTCTTTGACCTGACCTGAGCCAAAATAAGTATAGCCAGCTATGAGCTTTGATGTAGACAAATAATTATAGGCCCATGTCCAACTGATCTATTCCCACTCCCCAATTTCATGCTTTAGTTTTAATTATAAAAATGCCTCATTGTTTTCATTTTGTTTCCTATATTTAAAGCTTTATACAAACAAAATGAAAACAAATGTGTACTTTTTATAATTAACTATTTTAGTATGCTATTGTTTGTCATCTGTCTTTTCAGCGAGACCGATGTTTATTTATATGTTAAATGCAGATATGATATGTTCATGGATGCTTTCAACCATATAGCTGGTAATATAGATAAAATTTACAAACAACTTACGAAGAGCAACACACATCCTCTGGGTGGAACAGCATACCTAAATTTGGAAAATGATGATGATCCATTTCTACATGGCATGAAGTACACTGCTATGCCACCAACAAAGCGGTTCCGCGACATGGAACAACTGTCTGGTGGTGAAAAGACTGTTGCTGCGCTTGCATTGCTATTCTCCATCCATAGGTAGAGTTGTCTGTAGTTGCAAACTTATAAGCATATTTGGTTTGAGAAAATATTGTTTTCTTTGCTTTTAATCACAAATCGATCCACATTGTTTTTACTTTTCCCTTTAAGTTTCAGGAAGAGTTCATCCAACACATCTTGCCTGCATTAGTTTTATAGAGATGTGGTGCGCATTCATTGACATGGTTCCCACTTTATTTTTTCAGTTATAGGCCTTCACCATTTTTCATACTGGATGAAGTTGATGCTGCATTGGACAACTTGAATGTTGCGAAGGTTGCTGGCTTTATTCGTTCAAAATCTTGTGAAGGAGCTAGGGTTAATCAGGATGCTGATGGCGGAAATGGTTTTCAGAGTATTGTAATATCTCTGAAAGACAGCTTCTATGACAAAGCTGAAGCGTTAGTTGGGGTTTTCAGGGACTCTGGAAGAGGGTAAATAATTTATTTTCTTCACATCATTAAATTATTAGTATTTCCTCCCCCGTCTTTCCATTCAATATGTTGATGGCGTAAGTCTAATCTATTTTCCTAGTTTGTTTAAGTGATATACATTGTACACTATTTTTGCTTTTTTGCAGTTGTTCGAGTACTCTCACATTTGATCTAAGCAAGTATCAGGAGTCCTAAAATTCTTCCATTGGATACCATTATGAGTTGCTTGCGATGTACAGAGTTCCGGTTGCAATTTTATTTGTTGTTTAGTGGTTCCCAAACCTCCTCTTGCCAATCTCGTGTGTAAATTATCAGCTGGACCCTTTTTATAATATTATTGTAAATAGGAGTTCCTCACAGTAGATTATTTAGATGCATTTTCTTTCACTATAAATGCTATGTAGCTAGACTAGATAACTGATTATTCGTTGATATATGTAATGGATTAATTGAACTTTTTATCTGCCACGTCTTTGTATTCTTAATATTGCTATATATACAGTTCTTCCGAGGTACATTGTTCATAATGAATGAACCAAATGTTATAACAGGCGAAATTGGTAATTAGACTATTTGTGCAAAAAATAAGAAGAGACGACTATACATTCATGCCTTTAAATTTAACTTTTTTTTGGACTGACCTTGAGTTTTTTTTTTCTAAAGTCGATCATTATGTTACATTTCAATTGTATGCTTACTGATTGGCCTGCGTTATATACCTGTTGCGTTGTTATTATTTTTTTTAGTGTTAAAACTAGAGATGTACAACATTTGGGTATCCACATACATCACGTTTAAGATTGGTAACTTACTATATTTTGGATTCGTAAATTTGAACTACTATCAGACATTGATGTATAAAATAAATTTGAATTTAAAGAAGGGAAGGAACAAAACAAATAGAAAGAAGTAAAGGAACACCTTAAATAGATGAATATGACATTTTGACATGTTTATTTAAAGAAGTGAACGAACAACATAAATAGAATATGACAATGTTTATGGTTATGTGAACTTCTCAATGTTAAAACATTTTACTTTTTTTAATTAGGAACTTCGTTGAAATATTGTGAGATATAAAAGATATTACTTTATTCACAGTATGAAGCGAAAAGGTGAATAAATTAGAAATTTGAATACGTCTTTCTATAATCTGTAGATAACGCGTCTAAATTGCACACAATATTTTATAAGTGAGTCATCTATTTCATATTTGTTGAAAAATTTCTTCGAAGATGCATCTATAAAATTATTTCAAAAAAATTACATTTCAGGAGTGATTCCGTAGATGCATCTCCGAAATAAACTCTAAAAATATTTGAGAGATTTTGCCTTGACAACAAGTCTCTCAAATTGATATTTTTTAGGTCATTTACACACGGGATATATTAAAACTATGCTAAATATACTATTAAATTCAAACATGCCGTATATAAATTTAAATTCAAACATTAATCAAGTAGTCGAAAATGTTAGCACGTTACATAATTTATTCAGAAAAATATAATTGTTATCAAAATTCAAATAAAAATCTTCTCATCTGATGCCACCTTTATCCCAAGACATTCCGTACCTCAAGTAAGATGGTCTGTAAGGCGACCATATTAGGATTGTCTTCCACAATGTCTCATATCTCTAAGGCATCTCTCGCAATCATCGCAATATGCTGCCAGGCTAACAATAGATCCACTGTGTGATCATCCGTAACAACTACTCTTTCAATATATTCTAATTAGTTGATTTAGGTGTTTGAATGATGCTTGAGTCTGAAGAATTTTTTTCTGTCTTAACTCTTGGCGCTTGAATGATACTTTTTGTCTGTTTTTGATACTTTCTTAGTCTTTTTTACACGTATTTAATAAATACTGTTAAAAAGTTTATGCAAATATTTTTTTTCAAATTTTTTTGATAAATCGGGATTATTTTTATTGATTTCTTGCAAAATTAGCTAATAAGTGCTGGTGTACTTTTGTTTAGCACTTATCACAAGGATGATAGCAAAAGGGTTTCATCATCAACATAAATTTGATTTTCATGAAACTTTCTCCCATGTGATAAAACCAACAACCATTAGAGTCATTTTGTCCTTGACTAATACTTACAAATGAGAAGTAAATAAATTTCCATCAATTATAAATTTATTAACGGTGACTTTTATGAAGAAGTATATATGCAACAACACCTGAATTTGTTAACTCGAATTCAGCCTTGGTATGCAAGTTAACAAAATCCTTCTATGGTTTAAAGCATGCTTATTACTGGAATACACTTTACACTAATTTATGATCTCATCAACATACTTCATGACAAGTTTGCTCTAAAGAAGGTTGGCGTTCCAAAGTATTTCCTGTGGATTGAGGTGCATTACCAGTTCAATGGATCCACACTTCTAACTCAAACAAAAATACATCAAAGATCGATTATCCAAAGTCGACATGTCTGATGCAAATGGAGTGAGTACACCTATGTTTATCCATTGTTAGCTATGTCACTAACACACTACCAAATCCTTTCTTTTATAGATTCAAAGTTGGAGACTTACAATATACCACTCTTACATAACCTGTCATTGCTTTCTGTGTTAACAATGACTGATAACTCATAGAAAATTCTTTTGTGACGCATTTGAAGTGTTGTCAAATGAGTTATACGATGCTTAAGTGGGATTGTCACTCATAGTTTGACACTTTCACCAGCCAATCCTTTGCAAAAGTTTTCACTTAAGGCCTATAGTGATTTAAATTGGGCAAATGACCTAGATGATTGTTGACCAACTTCAAGCTCTTGGGTTTATTGTAATCCTAATTTGATTCGTGAAGCTCAAAGAAACAGTCACTCGTGGTACGATCAAGTACTAAAATAAAGTATCGAGCTTTGGCTCACATAATTTCTGAATTACTATGGTTTAAACCACTCTTATCTATACTTCATATCAATTACTTGACTTCTACATTAATTTTTGATAATTTTAGTGCTATTATGTTGTCTCATAATCCGATCCTGTATGCTATAATGAAACACATGGAACCGGATATCTATTTTATTTATGAAAGAATGGTAGCAAGCAAGCAACAAATTTAACATGTTATTGGTTATGTAAAGATCATTCATATGTTGTTCTAAATTTTGTATGGATGATTTTGGTGTTTTGTGTAACACTCTAAACCCCAAAATTTACATTTAAAGAATGACTTGATAATTAAAGGTGTCACATTGACAATCCTTCCACAACTAAAAAACATTTAGCAATACACAACGAAATTATAAAGAACATATAATACATGTCGTCACACGCTCACCATACATTAGGCTCATTGAGGCAAAATCATCATTAAATAAAGTAGTAACATCAATAGTGAAAGCCATATATTTAGTCTCATAATGAATTAACTTTCACAATGTAATTGAAACAAAGTTGTATTGTTCAACTCTCAACAACTTCAAAACTTTAACAAACATGGTATTAAACTTCAACAAATCACAATAAGCAAAAACAAACGTCCCCAGTCCCAATGTTACATAATCAAAGCATAACTTCTAGAATAATTACGAAACTAAATGAAAATAACTCAAACGAGCTATTTTCCACTCATAACAACAAATTCAAATCCTGGTTATCTGCAAGATGTCGATGGTGGACAATATTAAAGCATAAGGGATGATGATTCACTTCAATAAATAAAATGGTATAAGCTGCAATGTAGAATACAAACATCTACACATATTCCACATCAATAAAAAAAACATATTCTCACACCCAATTCAACATTATACATAATCTCAATCACACATACAACTCATTTATGCAATGTGACTCATGATAACAACTCGACTCATATGCATGTGATATCATTTATGGAAAACACATGTCCACCTCGCTCCCTGATCCCCACCATATGATCAAATTCTCTCTTATAATCAGAGCACACCAAAATTGCCACTAATCACCATATAATAAAACTTCACTAATCTCTCGATGAAATTAGCTATTCACACCCGATCTCCACCACATGACCATGACACACCAAAATGAACCGAAGTTTAGACACCATGATGCATGAATTTAAACACTAACATACAAACAAACACATGCACATCGACCCCTCTTCTGACCGTGTACATCGCCAATAAGGCACCTCAACACAAAAAATATAATATGCACACATTTTGTAGTGCAACATCGACAAATTCATCACAAATCATATTATACATACAATCTACATACAAGCACACATAACCAATTAACCATATATCAACTAATTCATCATCAATAATCAATTTTCATTGAAGCATCACCAAACAACAATTATACCTCGGCCCAAAAAGATAGATAAATGTTATACATCACTTAAACAACACATATTTGTCAATTCAATCGAACACAACAATTAAAAGTTCTTTCATCACTGTTGTACCCCAAAATTTCCCCTCCCATATTCCTCAAGATTTGTCAAGAATAATCTTCAAGTTGCTCAAATTGGCTCAAGAGTTGGACAGTCAAATCACCTCCTAAGAAAGTCAAGTCAAAATTAGGGTTTTGTGTTGCATTAAGGTACTCATATCCAAAGGACCTAAAATTCTCCCCAATGTCCTAATACGTTCTTAAGTTCATCCATGACAAATTTCAAGCCTTACAGAGGAAGTTTGGCCAGTCAATTGCTCAAGAGACTGAAAAATCGACTGTGCTAGGGCAAAAGTCAACTGTGTCCCAAATACAGTCAAACCTCAAGATTTTTTGTCAACATTCTCATTTTGAAGGATAATTCATAATTTTATCAAGGGTTGATCATGATTCATCAAGGATTGCTCAAGATTCATCAAGATTCAAAAGTTGCTAAATTAGGGTTTTGTAGGAAAAGTCAACTCAACTTTGACCAAGCATAACTTTCTCATACTTTATGAGAAATGACTCATCTAACGCTCATTTTAAATAGGATGAAATTTTCGACAATCCATCTTCACACCTCAAGATCAAGAAATGCTCTCACAAAAAGTTACAAATTTGGACATTATAGGTCATTTTTGAAAGTCAACAAAAACACCTTTTTTCCAAAGCTTATAACTTGAGCATGGAACATAAAAATGAGATGAGACCAAAATGGTTGATTATAGGACATCTCAAGGTTTCTAAAAAGTCAGAGAACACCTCCAAAAGTTCAAAATTGAAGAAGTTATACATTGTTGAAGTTGAGCAT